CCCCAAAACCCCAAAACCCCGTCTGATATAATCTTACAAAATAATCAAAAAGTCTAAAATAGTTAATAATAATATCTGATTGGCAAAATAATAAATATCAATCATCAATAGCTTTATAATTAGAAAATGCTTTTCATCTCCTTGCAGGACGATCTGTAGATCTAAAAGACTAATCAGCTCCACTCTCATAGTAACTTGCACTTTCATCATAATACTCACTAGCATTAGCATTATTTCTAGTATTATTTGGGTTCTAAGTAGGAGCAGGTTTCTTCATCTGAGCTATAGGGACAGCTGGTTCAGTCTTACCACTTTTTATCACTTAAGGTCCAGCTTTATTTACAGCACTATTCGGACCATCTCTAGTTTAAGGTGCCGTCCTAGGGAGTGTTTATTAAGATGTTGGAGGTTATAATAGATTTCTTGCAGATTACGGTGGTTGTTTAGCTTTAGAATTTTCAGCTTTTATTGGTTTTTTTACATTTTCAGGTATTTCATTTGGCTTGTTTCTAGCAACTGACTTGCATTTTACAATTTGAGTTACTTTCGAAAATATCACAAAACAAGCATTTACTCCGACAATAAGTAGAATCATCATGATCAAAAGCCTAGCATAAGATTTCTATTCGCTCATTACTAATGATGTTTTTGGAATGAATATGTGTGCTTGCATATACACCAAGAACACTGCCATCTCATTAAAAATTAATTAGGCATTCAAAAGCTTAGTATGAAATGGAAATATCAAAAGCACTGCAGTCATGTTCATCAAATTTAAAATCATAAATCCAGTTAACTACTATTCAGTGTTATTTTGAACAATCAGTATTGCCAAAATGAGTTATTTAAACATCATAAAACAAGGATAGAACAATGTTACTGGGAAGTTGCCTCCCATATCATATTCTTAGAAATATACATTTCCTCTTTGATAGGATCTATCCCTTATTTCCTCATCTTTAAGTTCAGGATTGGATGTTTTCATTCTTTTAACATCTCTGAAGAATTAAACTGCCTGATATCCTATGAAAATAATGTATGTCCAGCATCCAACTCCAACCATCATTGCCAAAAGTGAAGACACTGTTGATTATGAGTCTTCAAAGTTTAGATTTGCTAGATTCAAGTGAGATGAAAATGCAAGCTTCATGAAAGCATATGACATATATCCTGGAAGCATGGATGATTTAAGGCGTTCAAGAGAATTATTGAGAGATCTGTTTTCTTCAAATCCCATTCTAATGATTTCAGTAATCATGCTGAAGACAAAGAAATAGACGAATATTGATAGAACATCAGCTCCGGTTTCTAAAAATGCAGTTGATGCATATCCCATTTTCTCAAATGTATAAGTAGCTGGTGGATTAGTTTCTGCCAAGAGAGTGTGATTTGTAGCTCCACCGAAGCATAGGTAACCGATCATTTCGCTTTAAGGCATTGCAGCATTTAAGTTCTTGACATAGTCTGTTAAAGATGAAGGAACATAGAGGTTTGCACTTGGGAATAGATATATCTACTAAAGTGAATTCATCATTATCCATACATCCATCATGCTATAGCCAAAAGAAGCACCCACAAATCCGACTGCAAATGAAGCGTAAATAAGTGAGTATGTGAGTGTGTCCACAAGTTAAGGGAAGCCAGATGTTTTTCCAGCTGCAGAAGTATCATCCTGTCCATAGGGATAGACGATAGCTGAACTGTTTATCATCTGTGTTTTCTATGAGAAACTTTTGATATATTGCTTATCGTTGAAGTTTATTACTACTCTGTCAACTTTGTTTCCGAATAGCTAAGTTTGGCAATCGAAATCTATTTGAATTTCTTTGGTTCCTTAGAAAAGGGGATTCTTATAATTACCTGATCTTGTTACATTCCACCAGAACTAGTAGTTATTTCTACCAAAAGGTCCGCTCATTTCTAGAGTCCAAGCATTGGTAAGGTTCCAAGTAGAAACCATATAAATTGTCTCATTAAAAATGAGAGTAATAACTTTGTTCCCTCTCTAGAAATATGCTGAAGTAATGGATGGATTTGATAGAGCAATACAAGAATCAGCAGAGGTTTTACTTCCTCCAGCACATTTATACCCATCTTCAACGGAACAGTAAGCTGTACAGCCATCTTTATCCTAGTTATTACCATCATCACATTCAAACTGACCATAGTTAAGTCCATCACCGCAAATTTCAAAACACAAATCTGGAGAATAATAATTCCCTTAGGTACACTCGAAGCCTGATTCTACAGTGCAATTCTTAGCACATCCATCTCCACTCACAGTATTTCCATCATCACATTCAAATAGAAAAGTTCTCATATTCTTGCCATCCCCACAGACTTCATAGCAAGTATCTGCTTTTGTTGCATTCCCTCCACTGCATTTAAATCCTTTCTCAACATAACATGATGAGGAACACCCATCGTTTGCTCCTACATTTCCATCATCACATTCAAATTGACCAAGATTTTTGCCGTCCCCACATATTTCAGTACAGATGTCAGGAGTAAATATTGTGCCGCCTCCACACTTCCAACCTGCTTCTACTGTGCATGTATTTGAGCAGCCATCACCACTCACTTGATTTCCATCATCACATTCTAGGTAATTCATTTTTCTTCCATCGCCACATGCCTCCAAGCAGACATCTTGTGTTGTTGGGGTTCCACCTGTACATGTAAATCCAACTTCTCTGTGACAACATTCATCGCAGCCATCTCCTGTTAATACATTACCGTCATCGCACATTTCATCAAATGTTCTTTTTCCATTACAATATTAAGCACAAACACTCTTTGTGTAGGGATCTCCTGCAGAACATAAAAATCCAGATTCAACTACACATGATGCATCACAACCATCACCGTTCTCATTATTGCCATCATCACAAGCATATACTCCAAAGTTTCTACCATCTCCGCAGACTTCAGAACATGTATCTGCGGTAGTAGTTGTGCCACCAGAACATGAATATCCTATTTCTATTGTACAATCAGAGTGACAGCCATCACCATTTACTAGATTTCCATCATCACAAGCTTTAGTTCCATAATTTTTTCCATCTCCACAAGTTTCTTGACATTTATCTTTTGTATATTTACTTCCTCCTACACAATAAAACCCAGCTTCTACTAAACAAGTTGATGAGCATCCATCACCACTAGCAACGTTTCCATCGTCACACTGATTCGCTACTAACTTGAAATTTCTTCCATCACCGCATATTTCTGTACAAGTATCTTTGACAGCACTTGAACCACCTGTGCAGGTAAAGCCTACCTCTACTCTGCAATTTTAATCACATCCATCGTTATTAACAGTATTTCCATCCTCACAACCGTATTTTAAATAATCCTTTCCATCTCCACAGATTTCTTAACAGGTATCCTTAAAGATAACATTACCTCCTGTGCAATTGTACCCAGTATTAATTGTGCAAGTTGAACTACATCCATCATTATTAACAACGTTTCCGTCATCACATTATTCACTGCCTACTCTTCTACCATCACCACAAGTAGTAGTGCATACAGATGGACTTCCAGTGGTACATGTGAATCCTGTCTCGATATTGCAAACTGCATCGCATCCATCATTACTAACATTGTTTCCGTCATCACAGCCCTCGCTTGAGCTTTTTACTCCATTTCCACAACCAGGCCTGCAAGTATCTGCAGTACTAAAACTACCACCAAAGCAAGTAAAACCAGTTTCTGGAGAGCATGTCGAGGAACATCCATCACTGCTTTTTGTGTTGCCATCATCGCATAATTCATAATCATCTTTTATTCCATCTCCGCAATTAGAAGAGCATTTCTTGATATAGTCAAAAGTCCATGTACCTGGAGACTTAATACAAGAATAGCAATTGTCATAGTAAGCTGCCCAACAAGTTCTGCAGCTTGCATAGCAATCGGTGCACCCATTGGTTGTAGAATTCACATATTGATTTGAATTGCAATTGCTAATACATTATCCTGTTTCAGCTGGACATCGATTACATGATTAACTATTAACATTATTAGTGCAGCCTGAGGTTTTTAGCCTTCTATTGAGATCTAATTCCTCAATTGCATAGTCATGCATATATAAATTCCTGATATATCCTCTGAAGCCATCACCTATTTGAGTAAGAGCTGTTCCTGTTTCAGCTAAGACTGAATTAATGTTGCTGCAAGTCATTGCTACACTATTGAACTTTAAACAAATTTAAGATTCAGCTTATTCAACACCAACGACATGAAGTGCTACATAATTCCACTCATTTAATGTGACTGTACCAATATTGAATGATGTACTCTGACCACTCATTGTTAATTACATTGATGTAGCGCTTGCGAATCTGAATTAAAAGAAATCAACATTCGTGGAAGTCTCTCTTTCAAAAAGATTCATTGCACTTGTGGGAGTAGCTGTTGGTCTAATCCACATTTCGACAGTAAATGAATTCTAAGGGGTCAATAGTCTAGTTGATCCAGTTGAATATAGATACTAGTTTTAAGCAGCAAAAGTGGTATCGAAAAATAGTCCTTAATTGTGAGCATAGGCAGGGGTAAAGGCAAAGTTTGTGTTTACAGCAAGATTTCTAGCTTGACCACTAACATCTGGATGTATAAAAGAAACTGGGTAGGTAGGGAGAATGAAGTCGTATTTTTAGAAAGTACCGCTTTATTATTAAATACATTAATACGGAGCAGTTCCAGTAGGTTGACATATTCTGCAATAGCTTTAGCAATTAGTTGAGTATTAAGCAGCAGCTTACGCTGCTGTCAAGACAGTCCTATATATAGATAATTGATAAGAATGAATGGCATACCCAGAATAAATTTATATCTGATTAATCATTCCGACAAAGTTATCTTAAGCACCAGATCCTCCAAAGAATCCGCTAGCTGATGTGCCACCAGCACACAAGATAGCAGCATTACCTGGATCATCATTTATTTAGTCATTAAAACTGGCTGTGTCAGTAGTAACACCTCCTGCATCAGTTTATGCATAACAAGCAATTGCGGTACAGCTGCTAAAAAAACCACAAGTTTATCTAGTGAAAGTCACAGTAATATGATTCCATCCTTCTATAGTTTATATTTTTAATTTAAAAAAGTTTTATTACAAGCTAATTAGCAGCCTGTTAAGTCATTCGTTTGAATATTATTTCCGTTATTGTAGTTATTGTAATTCATTCTAACTTCCAATCCACCATTATCAAAGCCTACACACCATCTCTCATTCATATTTCCACTTCCTCTCTAAAATTGTTAATTTAAAAGTACAATATTTACATCATAGAGCTTGCAAACTAACTATGCCTGCATATTTAATATGTTTATATAAGTCCATATATCTACAGAAAAAGAGACATCAGTGCGGATTACATTGCCATGTGGTGGATGTGAGCATGCAAAATTAAATCCCTCAAAATAGATTCCATTATTTACGAATCTTGAAGTTGCCCCTACACCTAGAGTACCCTGATCATAAAAAATTGATGGTGCTCCTCCATTGTAAGTGTTTGCTACAGATGTAGCTGCATAAGATCCAGATGTGTCTAGCATCCATTCCGCAGTTGGAGTTTGTAGATTTATCAGGTCAATTAACAGAAGAAATATCAGCTGCATTTTGAGTAGGTGATTCTTTGCTGAAATCCTCAATAAATTCATTGAAAATCTCACTTTATGCATCATTTTAAATAACTTATTATAATTCAATATCTATTTTTTAACTTCAACTCACTATATTTAATTTATATTAAATTTCATCAGAAAGCAATTTCTTAAATTTACTTTTTGATTCTCAAATAATTTGATAATGGGGTTTTGGGGTTTTGGGG